GGGGGTTGTCTCCGAATATTCAAATTCTTTCTCCACCACAGCCCCACACTGGTTGTGGGCAAATTAACAGCTCTGGTCTTCTGTTTGCAGGCGACGTGAAATGCGCTGGAAAGATGAGAGGTATGTGGGGGCAGCTGGTGGGGGGGGGTGGAAGGGGTCCTGGGGGGGTCAAGGGGGCTGGCTATCAGGCCCCCCCCCCATGCCACTGTTCCCTACTTTCTAGAGACAGCACTGTTTGCTGGATGTCTGCTCTGGGTAAATCAGGGCCTTTGGGGGAAACTTGCCTGGGAACACGCCAAGTGAGCAGTGTTCCCTCTAAGCTGAGTCAGTGTGAGCGAGCTCACAGTTTTTTAGCCTCCAGCTCTGTTGGGTGATAGTGAGATATTGAAAAAATGGTATTTAGCAGAGATAAGATGGTCCAGCAGAGCCAGAGTAAAATAATTCAGACTGAGAGTCCATGTGTGATTAAAATATAAAGTTTTTACTAAATTCTAGCATGGGGAAGGGTAACTGGGATGAAAATAACAACAGAGCTGAACGGCTACATCCTTACACTACAAAGACAAAACTAGAAGAGAGGTGATTATGGCTACTCTTCTTCTTCAGAACACCGAAAAAAGACGGGAAGAGAAGCCATAAAATGGTAATATACCTTGAGACTTTAGTCCCAATGAAATTCCTAGATCAGGGAGAAAATTCCCGGGCATTCTACAGCTAAAGAACATTGGTTACATGAAAAACATGTGACTTCCTGTGAGTAACATAAACAAACATTTAACCCCAGATATACTGAGTGTTTTCCACTTGTAATACCCAACAAGCTCAAACCTTTTTGTCTCAGCTCAGGAAGGAGGGCTCCAGAGCAAACTAATTGATGCAGCAGCCAAATCACTCACTCACAGCTTTCATGCCGGCAGCTCAGAAAGCAGGATTTTTGCTCACAGGACTCCACAGCTGAGAGGAAGCATCGGAAGTGAGAGATGAACGGTCACCGCTCCCCTTTTCTCCCCACCTGTAGGCACCGTCGGACAGGGGCCAAGAGGAGACCACGGAAGCCCAGCCCGGCGCCTCTCGCACCTCCGTACGTTCTCCGTAGGACGGTTTTCGGTATTGCCTTTCACAGGCCCAGCATGTTGCTCTCTGCTGGAAGATCCAGCCCTGCATGCAGAAGTCCCAAGTGGAACGGGCGGAAGCCTCAAGATGCTTCCT